CTCGCATTTGGTCAGTTTTTTCATTCATTTTATTTCGGTGTGAGAAGATGATTCATTGAAGTTATGACTAAATTCCATAATATTAAAATGCTGAGACCAATAATATACCTATTATGTGATATAGAGTAATAGAGCACGAGGTTGACTTATGGTACGGTACTGTCATTTACGTCTTATGGGTTGGTTTCACTTTATTACGCTTCAATGGATTACGTCCGCAAGTTTTTTTTTAATTGATTTATCATCTAAAAACTTCTACCCCCTATTTCTGAATCGGCCCAACATCACGTTGTACCAAATACTTATAATACCCGGTATTATAAGCGTTTTTTAAACTGACCTGCGCCGACGTTTCACGTTGTTGTTCGAATTTACATCTAAATCTAAAAATACTACATCTATAACGTTTTGTAATGTACAGAAACAACTCACGAATATTTTAACTTGTATACTGAATAAATAGTGCAAAGCTGGTGGGTGATAAATAAGTTTTTGAAATAAATAGAAAACATATTTAATAAACCTTGCACTCTCATAAAATCCGAGCGTCTTTAGTTGTGTGTGAACCGGTATCAGTAGCGACCCCTCGGGGCGTTATAAAGACCCACTGACATTTGCAACATCCGTCGACGGGGTCTTAAGTGTCGGGCGGGGGCTCACGTGGCCACAACACAACCACTGAACCACGAAACCACCACGAAACTGGTGCATTCCTGATACGTCCGGTCTAAACTGCCGGTAGGGTTAACTGCATGATTTAACTTCCAATGCTTGTTGCTTTTGGATCAAACCTTAGTCGCGACAATGGTAGTATTTTTATTCTTTTTCGATTCGTTTGATGAATTTCTGAATGATTTGAACACGTAGAAAATTACGTTCTCCTTATCGAGTTATATTGATATCAATGTTTCCGATTTCCATAACACATAACGCTTTTATTTATGATATCTTTTGTTACATTTATTTAATCTTAAACTTTCAATTCTGAATTTAATTATTTCCCGAACAATAATTTAAATACTTTAATTTATAGTAAAAAAATAAATTTAAAAACTTTTTAACTGTAGTCGGGCTTTAGTTTTTTACTTGATGTTTTCTAGAGGGCCATTACCATTTTAATATGACGTCACATAACCTATAATACGCAGACAACTAAGACGCTTCTAATGATACCTCATTTGTCCAGTTACGGTGAGTAGTTTCGAAGTTATAAGGAAACAGATGATGAACATTCTTACATACATACCGGCCAAAATCATAACCTTCCTTTTAGAGACTGTTAATTATTCAATATCGAAACAATTTTTTTTAAATATAAATTAAATAACTTTACTGCAGTAAAGGTAGCAACCCTGTGAACGGTAGAAAGCAATAATTTGCTGGACCTAACCCCAGGGTGTCATTACAGTACGCATCAAACCAGCGCTGCATTTCTCACTGTTGATCCATTCGCATCTTTTACAAACGAATAGAATTCAATATGACATGACAACTGTAACTTCACATTAGCATATTACTGGACAAAATCTTGAAAAAACCTCAACTAATTGCCTTATCACATACCAACAAAGATAATAATTACTTATTTTGTTATTTCCATTTTTTTAATTCAGTGCGGTAAGATAACTAACGGCCGTGTTATAAGGCTACAGAGTTCATAATCAACTTTTGTAACGTTCACATGTTTTGCTTACTAATGTTTTATCCCAAGTCTGCCGGCGGCCAGCTGCGGGTTCTACTTAACGTTTGCATATATTTATATTTTTTATTATAATTGAAATATAATGAGTGCGCTTGTGGACTGTAAGAGGTTTTTAGGGATTATCAAAGTATATGGTATGTTTTAATTTCCACGTTATTATTTATTGATAACTAACAACTCATCTCATTCAGCACATATTCAACTCACATACAGTAAGCTTCATGCGGTCATAATTTCTTACAACTTCAACAATATATCTACTGAAGGATTGCCTTAAATTTGATTTTTCAAAAGTCGTACTTTAGATGATTCAAAAGTGCTGTATTTATCTTATCTCATTGTGACAATTTACACGACATCATAATTAATTAAACACCGTGAAAACTGTATGAAAATGATATTGACTTTTTTACTTTTTGCGACCAGTCATTCGAAGTCATTCTACTGAACGACCATTTTTTCTGATTTATTTTTCTATATATTCAAAGCCAGTATTCAAAGCCATCGAATTTTGTAGTTTCTCTGTCTTATCCATAATCTCTTATACTTCACAGCGTTCAATCAATGCGATGTCATTAAAATTCATCCACGGTCTCGATACCAAATCGATTACAGATGTATTTCTCAATGTGTAAACGCTATATGTAGTCACCGCAACAGAATGTTACTAATACAAGATTATTTCGATCTGATAATTACCTTCGATCCTAAAATTTGAATTTTTAGGAAACAAAAACTTTGCTGAAATAAAGATAAAATACGATACAAAAATAAAATATGTATGTGTGAATAAACCTTTAACCATCGATGATTATGAGTCAAATTAATATTATAAATCTAATGAAAGGAGTCAAAAATAGCTTTTTCGATATTGAAAACAATGGTTATTTAATAAATCGATCTCTTTTTAACCACCTATTCAAGACTTCTTTTTCTGTAAAGAAGAACGAGTGCAAGAAAATATAGAAAATAGTAAAAATGTTTTCGAAAACTATGTCATTTAATGTCAAAATTATTAGAACATTTTTTTCTCCATTAACAGAGGACAGTTGCACAAAAAACTTTTCCAGGTAACCAATTTGTTTCCCACAATCCGTAACCAAAGAGCTAAAAAAGCCTAATTTCTTTAAATTACACCACGACAGACAGATAAGTGTCATCGGTTTCAGCAAAATTCCCAAATCACCTTAATAGCGGTGTTAAATGCGGCTGTCCTTGTCGCTCCCGTTGGAATTGAGCATGCGAGAGTGGGAAGCTCATTTGCATGCAAGCTCAGTATACATACGCGTAAGCGCAGGGTCGTGTGTTGTTTAATAAGACGATTTATAAATACGATAACGGTAGGTACAGCATGTTGCGTGCAGTAGATATAAATTTTAACATACATACAAATTGCGGCAGACTAGTTGGATTCCTTTTTAAAACTAACTTAACTTTGGCTCCCAGGGTTGTCAGATATGATGTACAGTCTATGAATAAATGATGAGAAATATATTTACGTACGAATTATTTAACCAACTTTATTGTAGTGTTGGTGCGAGGCTTAACTCGTTATTATTATAAATATTAATGTCCTTTTTATTTTTGGACACCTTGAACACACTTAAATACTTTTATCCTATCGTTTGTTATATTACTGAAAATTATCTTTTATAGAATCATGTAAATTTCCATGGCCATATAACTTATATAATAGCGATGCGCAACCACGCTTATCGATAATTGTGGATAACATAGATAATCGTCTGTACGTGCTCCCGTAGGTAATTACAAAAGCAACTGTCGGTTGGTTGCGCGAACGCACGATAGCAATCTAACTGCGGCTTCTGAATTTTTAATTTTTAAAATTTATCAAAACATAAAATTCAGTATATCACATTTTTATTTAAACAGAACCACGACTATATAATTAAAGCAGCTTTTAGCAAAATTAAAGCTTGAAGACGTTAAGGTGTTTATTAATTACATAATTAAATTTCTAAAACAAAATAATTTGTAATCAATATTTTACTAAATTATCTCAGGTGCTAGAGATGGTATTCAGCAGTCGTCTGGTTAACGAAAGACCTCGGGGTATCAATCTCATCACTTTTTTTAATAATTGTTCTGAAATATAAATATAACACTTAAAATGTGTTAAAGATTTAAACCAAAACCTGCTCTATCACTACTTACTAAAGACATTCAAGTTAATAAACCTTACTTTGTTAGTAAAGGCTTTCAGGTAAACTCTCATTTCCGTCTCCACTTAACATTGGTTGGTAACTAATAATGCCATAAAAAGTAGCCATCTGTCTTTCCGGCACTGTTAACGAGCGGAAAATTTCAACGTGTCTTGCTCCCTTCATTATTTTTATTTCTTCTAATCAAAAGTCAAAATCACCAAGTTCAAATAAAAAAGCATCAAGCTTTAAGGCTGAGACATCAGCTAGTCCTAGTTCGCAATTAACCGGTAAATCACGTACTAGATGAGAACCAACGGAGAAATAAAAACGTCGGTTCGCCACAGTAATCAGATCGACAATATTAATCAGTATATATTCATAATTATGTAGTATAATGTTATCATTAATCTGCTAAAGATTTGAAAATGTTTAATAATCTAGTACCTTCTGAGTAGCTTTATTATTAATGAAAGCTTAACTATATGTCAGCAATGCTGAAAAACCAACTCCAATATGTTAAGATTGCAGTTTATTTTAAAGTATTTAAGTTGATTTTGAAAAAAAGAAGCTATATATTTGTAGCATTCAAGTAAAAAAATAAATTAGGTGTTGCCACTAAAAAGAAATGTTGAATCAATATTCGAATTTTGCAATATTTTCTTAGAAAATTATCAGATAACGCGTTCGATAAATGTGTAAAAATATCAAAACGCATCTCCATCGAACCTACTATTGGTAATAAGCTACGACCGCAGGAGCGAGATTAAACCTCGGAATTGTAGAGTAATCGGCGCACAAAATGCTGGACCGTTACACCCGCGGACGGACCAACTGACAATCAGTCCATCATCTCCGATGGATCGCGGAAAAGGTCTAACGCTAACTGCACATTAAATTCTCTAAGAACACATTGTGAAAATTACTAGTGGGCTATACCTAATCCTGCAATAATTGGAAGTTTAGAAATATTTTAAATTTTAATATCCACTAAGTATAAAAAGTATTGATTGTTGTATTATTTAAGAATAAAAATGTATTGCAATCTCATCGTCTATTGTGGAGAATTTTAAAGAATTACTTTAAAGAAATAAATAATAATAAATGTATTAATGAAGATACCAATATTTTTGTAGATAAAACATCAAAATGTCGGCTACCGCAACTCGCCATGTCAAAGAATCGAACTCGGCAAACATACTGATGTGTAAGCAATGGTGGAAAGTATGCTGGATGTACGGAGACCAGGAAAAATATTACAGGCAACTATACGGTAGAAGAAAAACGAATAATATTAATACGAATCTATTTAACTTCGATATGGACGTAAAACGTCCTGGAGCACAAATCACAGAGCTCACTGATGATTTTTTCGAAAACAACCAAAATTTAGAAATAGAACCAGCCCCAGATGAAACTGACGCAACAAATATGTCTAAAGTGTGTAATACATTTGGTGCCGAATCTGAACCTATTTACGGATTTGAAGTCCAAACTGCGTGGCAAAGAGACCAAAGAAGACAACCTATACAACAAAACTACGAAGAATATATGAACACGGTAGATCTAGACCAAATCTTAGGTACAAGTTTAAATGGAAATAGTATAAAGAGTATGTTAAAAAACGGGTTACCACCTCAATCTAAATCTAAGCCTCAGCTGATAGATTCTAAGGAAGAGATCCTCAGGAACGGTAACACATTTGGTAAGACTTCAAAAACTATATGTAGGACTAAGAAAGGGGCTGTAGTTACTGAGGAATCGGAAATTTCGACAGACGGGAGAACTTTGGCTAACTTTAAATTTCAACGTTCAACAGTGAAGACAGGTCCAAATAAAGTAAAGGAGACCCTGCAACCATTGAAAGAGGATGCAGTCCTGAATGAGTGCCTCAGGACAAAGTGTGTAGGAGACTTGTTGACGACGACTACGACGACTTTAGTAACGGTGTCGCAAACGTCGGTCACGTGCTGTAATGAGTAAGTTCATTTTTATATTTCTTTATATATTTTATTCGGTCGGACATTTTCTGCAAACTTACGATACACTTACTTAGTTTATTAAACAGCTAAATATTACAATGAAGTAAAATATATTTTCTATTAATAGTTATGAGTATCTGTGGTACTAGAAAATAATTTATATATACATTTACGCTGGCACTAAGCCACAAGCTCTCCTAAGGTAACACTTTCTAATCATGTGAAAAATTAACATTTCTCCCAGTAAAATATACAATACTATTTTATATAAACTCTAAGAGGAGATAAGTCTTACTTTGTCAATTCACGTGACCTTGACGTAAAGTGGATACTGAGGGTTATTTTTTGTAATTAAATTTTCGGGTAGGCCTGAAATGAAAAATTGAGAAATTCCTTTTTAATCTTCTTTAAAATTTAAAATTTATATTTCTTTATAATTGGTTATTGTAAATACAAACAAGACTCTCCGGCTTCGCAAAGGTTAGGCCTAAGTATCTTCTTATCTTCAATATCCATCATATTACTTCCGCCGATTTTGACAATACTTTAATAAATAAATTTCCTAGGAATTATTCCACAAATTTCAGGAACCTGCTAAAAATAAAAATATACAGCTAAAAAACAGACAGAATACACGGCGGAAGAACCTTATTTTATAAAGTAAGATTTCTACTTCTCACTAGTAGAATTATTAACCATTTTAACTACTCATTGTTGTAAATTATTGGTATGTAATAAAAAGGGCTATGAGTATATATATGGAAGGAAATGTAAGGGGATACGAAAAAAAGATGGATAGAATGTGTAAAAGATGGTATGTGTAAGAAAGGAGTGAATGTTAAGATGAAGAAAAATACATATTGCCCCAACTCCAAATCGGGAAAAAGACAGGTAAATTATATGAATGAACTACTCTGCGCCATAGTATTTAAAAATAAGTCACTTATTCTCTTATCGTATTATCATTTTCGAAACTACTAGAGCACATTTGCTAACCACTTTTGTCCGTGAAATGCGGTAAAATTGACCATTGTTATAAACATGCGCGATTGTGCGGGCGCAATACAACGCTACGAGAAATTTAACAATACCACAGACAACTGGCGTAAGTACGAAGATTTAGCGGTTTATTGTCAACGTTCGAAGTTTGCTTACCGACTCCTGTTATAATAAATCTTGACTCAAATAGCTTTTGGTTTGGTAAAAATAAAAATAAAAACAGTTCAATTGAGTCAACATAAATAAGAGTTACTTATTTTTTTTATCAAAGACTTTATTTCATTCTACCTAGAGTAGTATAATATATGTAAAACTTCTAACAAGCTGTACAGAATAAAATTCCTGTGCACGTGTATCTAGAAACCTGCAATAGTCATTTTCAAAATCCATGTGAGTTTGTAACATTCGTAAACAATATTCATAATTTTGTATTTACAATTCGATAATGTTTCAATAAAAGTAATGCATTGTAAAAAATTTCAACTAATTTCAATCGATTCATAAACCACACAAAAGACTTGCGAAACTCACGAGCAAGATTTCGCAGTAATTTATTTGTGTTGAATGTGCATTGAGCACAATTCATTTTTATTAACGACATCAATGATATAAAATTTATTGGACAACATGCCCTGGGCAATTCTGCTAACGTTAGCGCAATTGTGGAAAGTCAATGGCGCTTCAACTAGAACCTTTATGACACCGTTCTTGTTACTAGAAAACAAAATAGTAAATGTATCTGCCACCAGTGATTTGTGAGGAATACATTGGATGACAGGTAGATAGTACAATGGCAAATGCAAGAAGTTGAGATTCTATTGAGATGCGATTATTACATGAACATTATGAGAGTTGTGACCCAGGTACAGCGTCTCCGTCAGTACAGTTTTTTTTTTAAATAATAAGTTTGTCTGCTCTGAAGAACAATATGTTTTTTCACACTCCTATAGTACTCAGAAATAAAATCGGATCTGCCCTGTGATTCTGTAAAAATTCAGACCCGAATTCGAATTCACTCATGTATCCGAATCCACGTTATTTAGTGTAGGAATTCTATTGATTCCATTGTTTGTATAAAAATACAAAATTGATTGAATATACGTGTCTCAGATATTCTATTCCTATGTCATTTCGAAATTAACTTTACTTATTCTATACCAACAAGGACCATTAAGTTTAACGTATCATGTTTTAAATATATATCAGATAAATAAGCAGTATACTTCTCAAGATATTTCCTCCCATTATATCATTTAAGAACTCGGTAAATATTAAATTTTTCTAGTTCCAACATTACAGCATTATGCACCAACCAAACACTTGTGCTAAAGGCATAAATATTTATCTTGTCTATGGTCATTACGATGCACGAGCCATCGTGTGTTACCCCGCCATAGACGGCCCCCTACTGCTAGTGAAAGTTGTATACCGAGCTAAAGTATTAATACACTATTATTTATTCTATATTTATTCGGAATTAATGATCGATAAATTACGGAAAAAAGAAATGAAATTGTGATAAATATCTTTTGCGATAAACGACTCTGGAAGGTCAAATATACCAAAGACATCATCAACATCATGTTTTATAATATCTTGATGTAAGAAATCAGAAATGTTAAAACAGAGTTCTACAGGTGATAAAGGTTTTATTTCATTGAACCTCTAATGCTGCAACAATGCTGTGTTCGACACTGTATATTACACTAAAGATTGACTTTTAAATTGTTGGACTAGGTTAAAAATATCATACACATATTATTAAAGTGTGATTATAGAAGCAAATATATCTATTGAATATGTATGAATAAATTATCAACAACAAGAAGATGAAAGACGTATGTAAATATCTCTCTGGCAAGGACCATACCATTTGACGCTCGACGATCTCCATTTGGTTCGCAGTTTGGAATTGGTGTACAGATGCAAATATCAAGAAAGGAGCTTTATCATCATCATCATAGATACCACACTGTTGCTAGTGTAAAAGATACAAAGAAGTAGAAAGTGCAGAGAGATGAAAATGTAAAAAACAAAGAAAATATTCCATAATTTACCAGTTGCATTTTTTAAATTACAAAATCATTTAATAGACTTTTATTGATACTATATGATACTGAAGAAACCACAAATAATAAATTATTTTTAAAACGTAGACCAGACCTGAAACACAAAATAAACTAACATGTACATATTTTATTATACGCTCATAGAACTCATAATAAAAAATATTTCATAGGTATAAATGTCACATCAATATTTTTTCATCTAAGTAAGTATGCATAATCAAAGAAAATGGATAAGTTATGTAATCTAGAGAAGACGCACCTCCTTAAGCAGGTCCTATTCACGAGTATGACGCTTAACCGGTCATCAGCTCGCTTAGCCATATTTTAGACACCCTAAGGCTCACCACACACCATACCATACCACTGCATAGATTTCAAAGATACCATGACTTACTGTAGGATTAATAATGTATTATCTTGAAAGTCATAGAATCAAAAGCTTAAAACTAGCTAGACTATTGCTGTGAAATATCAATGGCCTTAAATAAGGAGATGATTCATCAAACCAGCTCCACTGTCATAAGCATATGTAAACAGTATTTCCATAGGTGCATAATCCCGCCCGCATGACGCTTCACGAAGACGAACGGCCATGTTTTTTTTACTTTTTATTTTTTCGCATCTGTCAAGCTGCGGAATAGTGGTCACAGGACATATATTATGTATAGGTAAATTTTTAAACTTAGTCTTGCAATTTTATATTGTTATGCCTATAACAATTGTATAAACGATTTATAAAAGTATATGGATAATTAAATAACTGATTGTTTAATTAGCCGTTATTATAATTCGTTGGTCATGTTCACGTATCACATTTAATAAGACGCGTACGTGACTTATAGACTTTTTATTGAAATCTAAATTAGTCGACAATGGTTATAGTGAAATATACGGTTGGCTTGGGAATAGCCTCGTGTATTTTCTAATCTTGCAGTGGTAGTATGAAAATTTTAAATTAAAAGTAATGAGATAGAAACAAAGGGTAAAGAGCACAGAACATCTATGTTCTGTGGTAAAGAGCCTGTAGACTTCATTAATGGTTTTGTTTTGTTGTCTTTATAAGATTTCAAACTTCTTGTAGAATCAAAGGTTACACTTTTGTTACACTTTCTACATTAAAAAATCGAGTCTCAAAATTCTTTGTAATCATAATACTGACGTTTGTCATCTTACATTGAAGAAGCTCTACTATAAAGTTATATCAATACCAATTCACGAGAATCGGTCCCTCACGAGTATTTGTTAACACCTCTTTCGAATTTGCCACCGTCCTTTTCTAACTCACACGCGTCGCTTAACGTGAAAGGGACAGGTGCAAATAAAAATTCTCGGTAGCATGCTATGTTATTATTTGTCATGTTCTCGAGTCGCCGTTAGCTTTTCTCATTGATGGCATCTGGTTAGTTCTGGTGTGATGTTATGCTTGTTAGATTCTTATGAGCCAGTTACATTTTATTGTGTGCTACTATATTATTTTCTAAATAAATCCATCAACTATATGCCGCATGTTATAGATAGGTACCGTTGGATAGAACTTTTCATCGCTACCCTGTGTTTCTTCTTAGCAATTTTTACCGCACGGACGTACTTTATTTCAGTTTTTATTTGTATAAACTAAAATATTTATCTATATTTTAAGCCTTATCCCTGGCGGATTAGGCAGAAAATATCAAACGCCACAAAGTACCGTCCTTCCACAAATTTTTCGCCTCATCCACTCTCATTACTCTTTTCATAGATACTCGCGGTTTTTATGGTTTCTGACATCACCTTCAAACAGCACGAATTGATTTGATCGTGAACAGTGTGCCGTAGCCTTCCTCGACTTCTGTATCGTTCAACTTACACATTATATAGCACTTATATAATTCTTTCATGCTTTCTATCTATTTCAAAAGAAGGCTGATTCAAAAGCCGCCAAAACGTTCA